AGATGAGTCCTGAGGGGCGGCCTGGGCCCAGGTGGTGCTGAGACCCCCGGGTCACTAGGGGAGGCAGGCCTAGGGCAGGGAAGCAGGGCTTGACTTTAATTTCCTTGCTGATTTTTTGGTTTGGTTTGGTTTTTTGGTTTACTTTTTGTTGCCTGACAGGGCTGGTTGGTACCACTGTGAGGATCTCACTTCTTCCCAGCCTTGTAGGGTCACACCCATTGCTTCTGACTTTGGTGAAACAGTTCTGCCAAGGGGCTCAATAAGTACAGGCTTGGGGGTGTCACGGGGAGGAGAGAACACTAGTCACGTGACATCCGCACAGCCACCTTTGCTCTTTCCTGCTTGCTGTCTCGTGACACCCAGGTAACCGTCCTCTGAGTGTCCCTTCCCACCAGCCTCCTGGAGGCCACCTCCACAGGCCAGGAGCTTCTGCTGGGACGCGAGGGCAGGCTCCGAGGGCCCGAGATTGAGACTCAGCTCCTGCCCCACGTGCCGTGTGCCCCAGTTCCGGTGGGCAGGGCAGTTCCCGTGCCAGGCCCTACACTGGGGCTGGGGAGCAAAGCAAACTCCACGGAAGCCCCTGTCCTCACAGGGAGGAACGGGACACTCTTATCACCCAAGCGTCACCTGGCCAGGTGGGGGCTGTCAGCGGTGGTCAGAGCCTACACTCCCCGTTGGGGGCCGTTGGTAGGGCACGTGACTGGGGAGCAGCCTGGCAGTTTGCAGGGCAGGCCCCGAGGCCTGTGGGGAGCACGGCCTGGCAGCACTCCTTCCAGAGCAAGGACGGCCAGCAGGCGGGGGAGGAGTGAGCCCGACCGTCGGGAGCAGCCATGTTGGTGGGGCAGCCCCAGACGGGGAGCAGCAGCACTGGCCACTGCCGAGTTGGTGAGTGTGGTCCAGGGGCCCCAGAGCAGCCCGCGGCCCTGCGGTGTCCCCAGGCTGCCCGTGCCCCTCCCCTCACGTCCTTTCTGCGGCTGCGGCCCTCCCTTCCCAGTTTCTGGTGCGGCTGGCACCCACTGCTGCCACTACCTGCCTGCTCCTCAGACACGGACCAGCCTGTCCTTGTGGGATGCTCCCGTGTTAACAGACCAGCATCCTGACACCCACGGGGACACACACAGCAGCATCACACATCTGACAGACTGAACCGAGCCCTGGAACCCAGCCGACAGGGCAAAGCCACCTTGTCCTGGGTCCCCACTGGTCTCAAGGGAGGCTGGTGGGCCCTCTGGCTCCCGGACAGCTGCAGGTTTGACCCCGGTGCTGTAACGCTGTGATCCCGAGAACTACAGGGCCAGCCCTCAAGGATGGTGCTGACCCATCACTGTCCTCTGAGGTGGGACCCTTCGGAAATGCTGTTTAACATCTTGGCAATTGATGAGGCAAAGAAAGCCATTGACGAAAGTCAAGTTTTCACGGGCGTTTTTGGTTGTGTTTCTGCTGTCTGTATTTCTGGGGAAACCACCTGTACCCCCAGCGGCCCTGCCCCATATGGGCGGAGTAAGGTGACACAGGGAAACCTGAACCCAGTCCTCGGCGCTGAGAGAGACGGTTCTACAGCAGGGAGCTTGATAAAGTACAAAGTGCAGGGGGTCGGGTAGGCCAGGACCAGGGTCCTTGCGGAAGGCTGTGGGCAGCCAGGCAGGTCCTCCCAAGATCACGCGGGCACCAGGGCTGGGGCGGGCGTGCTGAGGGGAGCCCTGCCTCCGTCAGACAGAATCTGGGCCTCTACCAAGTGACTCGGCACAGCTGAGTCCCCCCACCGTGCCACAGGCTGGCAGGTGACAGCAGCCAGGCAGAGCAAGGGGTTGCCCTGCCTGCCTGCCCTGTGCAGCCTCCCAGGGGAGTACCAGGGTAGCCCCTCCAGCACGCAGCCACATGTAGCTGCAAGAGAGTCTGGCAAGGCTTTCATGCCCAGCTGAGAACCAGGCATGTTTATTACAGAAGCGTAGGGGAGCGCTGCTACCTAGCTACAGGAGCCGCGAGAGCTGGCCTCTGTCCTGGGCTCGGGGACAAGCTCATCTCCACATCCCCAGGTGAGTTACTAACCCTTCGTAGCTTCTGGTGGTGCCATCCCTGAGAAGGCAGTGGGGCTCGGGACTGTGGAGTCCAGCCGCCCCTTCACTTTCTGTGGGGAGCAGAGCAGAGCCAGCCGCGTGCCGAGACCAGCTGCTGGGCCCCGTGGGCAGCTGCAGCTTGAGAGCCAGGGCTCTTGCCCCCAGTGCACACTAACAGGCCCCTGGCTGGTGGGAACTCAGCTGCTGACCCAGTGGTCGGCCGTGGGATCCCACCCAGCAGTGCCACGGAAGAGAGGGCTGGTGAACCACTGCCGTCGAGAGGACAGTGAAGGGCCCTGAAACACACAGGGTCACGTGAGTGGCAGCCGACGTGCCAGCAGCGAGTCTGGTTTTTCCCAGCAGTGCCAAATCAACGGCCTCCCTGCCGCACGCGGGAATGTCCCTGCGCCAGGCACTCCTGGCAGAAAGGGTGACTTCTTACAGTCAAGAGGGTTCCCTGGTAGACGCCATGGGTGACATTCCCAGCCCCTAGGGTGGCCTCAGAAGCTCAGAGAGCAACGCAGAAGCACCCCGCCAGGCAACAGCAGGGCCTGCGGCAGGTCTCGAACATCCTTAAAGGTGTTGGGGAGCCCAGCACCCACTGTGGCCCAGGCCTCGGTTTACCCATCCCTTGGAGAGAATTCCTCCCGTGCTGCAGCTCTCCGGGGCTGGCCGACAGGAGGGGCCTGGCGGTGGAGATCTGCTGCCGCTGCCGTCCCCCGCGAGCTGGGACGCGTCGGAGTGCTTTTTAAATAATACAGCACTTTAAGAGGGAGCTAACTGGGGCTTATGTAAGGAATCCACGTCACAGCAGAAAATTTGGAAATAGAGAGAAGGGTGCCAGCTGCTGTCCCCCACCTCCAGGCGCTCTCCCCCATGCACACCCTGTGTGGGATCTCACGGTCAACCGTCTTATATCCTGTCCCCGGCAGCCTCTCAGGCGGGACACACAGAAACGTTTGTGCCGCCCTCTGGTCTGCAGGGGCCTGTGGGGAAGCAGGGTCACCGGCCCCTCTGTGGCTTTTTCACTGGTAAGAGTTCAGCGCTCATTTCTGTGGGTCAGTTTCTGGCAACGTCTGGAAACGGCTCCCAGTCACCACCGGTGGGTGTAGTGCTGTGACATGTGGAAGGTCAGGGATGCTGCTACCCACCTGCAGGGCCTAGGCCGCGCCCACCTGTGACCCCCAGCCCAAAAGGCAGCAGTCCTGAAGTACAGAAGACTGCCACACAATGGCTTCCTGGACAGGACGTGGCCAGTCGCGGACTGCCCCCACCAGGGCGGCCAGCGAACCAGCCCCGGGTTCTCAGGCTCCCACAGCTAAGCCCAATTTCAGGGAGAAATAACATGCGAGGGGAGGGGCCCTGCTACGGGCAGGGCGCCGCGTGGCTGGAGGGTGCCGGGGCCGGGAGCCACCGCTCCCCAGGGTGTCCGGCCCAGCCTTGGCCCAGAAGGAACTGAGCGGCTCCCAACAGCGCGGTGTGGCTAGCCGAGGAGGAGGAGGGGAGGCCGGGGGGCACCGCGGCCACGGTGCAGGTGCAGGTGGTCGGTGAAGCAGCACCCCAGCCACTGCGAGCCGCTCGGCCGCCTGGCTCCGCGAGACCAGGGTGACGGCCAGCCTAGGAGCTGCTTCCTGTGGAGCCCAGGGGTTGTGTGGGCTGTGGTGCAGCCCCGGGGCTCAGGGGAGAAGGGTGGGGCAGACCCCAGACCCAGCTGAGTGGGGGCAGGGGAGGCACCCTTCTGCACAGTTGGGGGGCCTGCAGCCAGGCCCCAGGGAATTGTGCGCTGTGACTCAGAGGTGTGCAAAAGGGCATGTGAAAACGTTCCTTAGCAGGAAGCAGTCGCCTGGCCTGGGCTGCTGCTGTCCGGACTGGGGAGGGCAAGGAGCCCAGAAGACCCCCGGCCACAGCCTGGAAGCCTCAGTGCGAGGTCAGCCTCGCAGTAACGCCCACAGGGGACATGCAGCAACACTGGTGACCAAGGCCGGGTGCTTCCAAGCCAGCCACGGTGGCTTCAGCCGGAGCTGGTCACCCCACGGAGGGGACGCTCTCCACACCCCTGCACACTGGAGCAATACCTTCCCCTCCCCCAGGCCCCCAGCCCACCGTCCCCAAAGCCGGGACCACACAGCGAAGGAAAGAACCTCTAAGCTGGCCTCGTGGGTGCCCACTCTACAGGGGACAAGCCAGAGCTGCCCTCAGACCCGTCAGGGAGGGCTCGCGTGCCACGTTACCCAGGACAGGGCCAACCCTCCCGGCCAGCCCAAGGCAAGTTAACCCAGCATCCTCCAGCCCAGCGCAGAAGTGGGGGTTTCTGTGCATCCATCCCCTTCGCAGCTTGCACTGGTGGGGGTTGGGGAGGTAGGGTGAGAGAGGCCTGGAGGAAAAGGTAGCAAGCAAGTAGGGGCGCTCTGATTCTGATGGCAGGGTGGGCGCAGAGGCAGCCACGGCCAGCAGGTGGCAGCACAGGCTGTCGCTAAAGAAGGGGTTTGGGGGCCCCGACGACCCAGGTGCCACTCGGGACAGGATCGGCAGGGACCCCCGTGAGCCCTGAAGAGGCTGAATCTGAGGCCAGCGAGGGGATGGTTCTGGAGGCCGGAGGGAAAGGTTATGGGGAGAGTTGGTGGGGGACTCAGGGCACAAGGAGGGCCTGGTTGGACCTCTGCCGACTGGGAAGTCTGGCCTAGGACCAGGGTTGTGTGGTGGGTCTTTTTGGGGGGTGGTCAGAGCCATATCGAGGTTCAGAGTTCCTGGCCCCCAACTCTCAGCCCTTCACACCTGTCCCATCATGCAGGGCAAGGTGGGGTTGAGCGCCAGGCCCCCGACGCAGACCCCTTGGGTGCTGGCACTCAGCGCCTGGAGCCCCTTGCCAGCCTGCTGTGCCAGGCGCCGCGGACCCCGGTCCTTACAGCCAGCGGGCGGCCCAGGGCCGGGAGCACGACTCAGAGACCGAGGCAGGCCAAGAACCCTACTTTATTTCAGCGTCAGCGACACCTCAGCCATCGGAAAATAAACTCTACGACGGGCGACGGCGGAGTCTCTACAGCGAGGCTAAGGGTGGCCGCCGGCGCAGGGCGGCGCGGGCACCGCCCGCGGTAAGTTAGGCAGCGGCGGCCGGCGGGCGCGGGCTCACTTGGGGTCGGGCATCAGGTCGTCGATGGCCCGGCCCTGCTCCAGCCGCTGCTCCATCTCGATGAGCAGCTTCACGCCGTCCACCACCGTCTGCACCAGCTCCACCTCCGAGAAGCCCAGGCGGTCGGCGTTGGAGACGTCGAAGACCCCGCCGACGGCGGCCGTGTCCACGCCACCTGCGGAGGCGCCGGCGTCAGGGCGCCGCGGGCGGCCGGCCCGGGCCCGTCGGGGCGTCCCGCCGCCTGCCCCACTCACCTGTGCCGCGCTTCTGCAGGCGCAGCCGCTTGAGCACCTCCGGGAACTGCGCGTGGCTGCCCAGGTGGGGCAGCTTGATGTGCACGCCCGCCCGCAGCCCGGTGCCCAGGTTGGACGGGCAGGTGAGGATGTAGCCCAGGTGAGGGTTCCACATGAACGCGTAGTTCTTAGACTTGAACAGCGCCTCGATCTGGGAGCCCAAGACAGACGTGAGCCGGGAGGCCCCGCCGAGCGACCCCGAGGAGCAGCGGCCGGCTCCGGGGACCGCGGGGAGCTCGGCGCGGCCCCTCCCGGCCCTGAGCCCCAGGCGGGGCGTCTCGGGCGGCCGCTGACCTGGGTGAGGCCGCTGCAGAAGCGTGTGAACACTTCCTTCATGTTGCCCCCTTTCTGCATGGAGATGACCCGCAGGTGGTCCTCCTCGTTGACCCACACCAGGAAGGTCTTGTTGTCATTGTGCCTGGAGACGGCCACATTCACCCACCGCGAAGCACCCCTGGGGCTCCCCGGGCCCCTCTCAGACTAAGGGACCCTTCCCAGGGCCTAGCACCCGTCCCAGCTGTCCCCAGTAGGGAGTGGGGCCGAGACGCCTGCCCCGTCACCGGCCGCAGGACCCCTGACGGAGGGAGGCGCCACGCCCAGCGCCACCCCTCCCTGCAAGCATTTGCTGCTGCGGGGCCTCTCGGCCGCCCTCTCCGGGCCCAGGCCCTCCACCTGCGAGGCCGGGGGCCGAGAAGGAAGAGCGCGTCGGGCCCCGAAGGTCGCCCTCTGCCCCACTGCCCCAGGCGGGCACTCCGGAGAGAGCTGCTGCGTCACCAGGCACCTGGCAGAGTCCCCGCGGGGGGAGGGGGGACCGCGAAGAGCGAAAACAAACCGCTCCAGCTCCCGAGGGGGCGGAGGGGTCCCCCGACAGGCCTGGCCCCCCCTCCTGGAAGGTCCCGGGACGCTGGGCCTCCGTCGGCCCCAGGGGAGCCCTGCACGCACCTGCGCGGCCAAGGTCACCTGAGAGGAGGCCCGGGCGGGGCGGGCCTCGCCCTCTTCCTCCTCCGAGGGGGCCCCACCCCCGCGGGGGAGGCGGAAGGGACGGGAACGGGGCGCACCAGATGCCGCGGGCGTCGGGCCAGTCGCGGGCCATGCCCGAGGCCAGCAGCAGGGGCGACACGGGCTTGTCGAAGAGGAAGTGGTCGTCGATGAGTTGCTGCTGCTCCGCCTCCGTCATGCTCTTGAGCGCGTAGTACCTGCCCGCCAGGTCGCCCTCCAGGCTCGACAGGGCTGCGGAGGGGCACGCTCAGGGCCCGGCCGGCCCGCCTCGGCCTCCCCCCGCCCCGCTCTGCGGCCGCCACCCCCCGGGA